AACAAATAAACACTGAAATAAAATAATATCATAATTCATAATATGTTATAAAAATCGTTTAATAAATGCATAAAAATGTATAATTCTAAATGCATAAACTTCGATATATTGATTTTTAAAAGTAGCAAAAAAACTTCCAAGGGAGAAACAATAGTTCGTTCGAAGTATAAAGGATGCTGCGAATTGAATAATATTTAAAGTAAATGTAAATTACATAATAATAACATTACTTATATCGAGAGTCCTATACCGAATATAATATCGTAGAAGATCAATATAATTTAGAATATTATAATTATTATTACAAAATGTATAAATTATTCTGAACTATTATCGTTTATTTAATATTGATACTTTAACAGTCTAACTGATATTAACATATTCTACATTATTCTACGTTAAAAAAAATACAACTTTTACATTTACAGTAGTGGTACATAATAATATATAGACGAAAACATCAAACAACTAAATATATTTTTTATTAATATATCAATAATAGTTGTAATCAATTCATGCACCCCTCATCATCAGCAGATTTTTTTTCTGAATCCATGCCAAACATAATAAACGTCCGATAGGTGTTAATGTGTAATAAAGTATAAAAGTATTATTATACTTAGTATATATCTATAATTAGTATTGCACGTGATTGTCAGTATAATATAATGTCTCTATCAGTTGCAATATTCTCTGACGTGTATTAATAGTATTTTATTTTATGCGTTTAGGTCTATTTAATACTCAAATCAACATAACTTTTAAAATTAATAGATTTTGTACAATAATAGGTATAGGTAATACTATGATACTGTATATTATAAGATTTAATGGCTTAATATTCCACAACCATAGCGTAAAGCTAGAACTAATTGAATTTGCGTTTTCACGATAAATTCATTTTTATTTTTTGGAATTCCTAAACCAGTGGTTGAATTGTATCAGAGAATAATTCATTTACTAATCCTCTTGAGTTCCTTCACAATAATATAAAAATAAATATTTTTGAACTCATAAGCTTACATAGTTGTTAAATAATAAACCTACTGCAGCTGTAGCCGGAGCTGCACATATTTTACCAAGACACAGCTATAGCATATTATTATAACAATATAATAATATGTAATTAATGCCTAGGGTGTAGAGTTTATAAATTAATAAAATAAAAACTGAGGTGTGTCAAATTAAAATTTCTTTTAGTTTGATAATATAGTCGGTTTATTTTAATATATGGTCAACTCACAAATTGAACGTATTCACAATTAATCTATAGTGATTAATTTCGCTTGATGATGGTTAACTTGAATGTTTGTGGCTATTTTGTGGCTAATAGAAAATTGATTAAAAATATAAATCGTTTTGGAATTGACAACATAATCGACGAGTAATTATTATGAAAACTTGATTGACATGCATTTATTTTAGATATTATAACAACATGTAGTACATTTCCGATAGTTGACTGACAACGATTTTGATAATTTATTATAACGGGAACCACTTTCATATAAAAAAATTAATCCATACTAAATATAAATTAAAAAATGTACTAAAAATAGTCATGTACATTTTTCATTTATAATACCCGATATAATAATAATATTTTGCCGTACAATCACATACTATTTTCCAAAACAAAATTCTTCTATAGTTGTGATTGTCTAATATCTATGTTAATAAGCAGTAATATATAGTTGTATTATAATTTATCAAGTTCAATACCAACCATGTTTTCTACTAAAATATATACCTATAATATAAAATACCAACTGTACCGACTACCAACACTATTCTAGTCATACGCGCACTGACATCAACAATCTCTAATTATTGACGAGTGTTATTTTTCAAAAATATACAGTAACTTATGTTTTCGTAAAACAAAAACGGTAGGTATCGAATCCTCAATAACTAAAAATCAACAATTCGTCATAAAACTAGGTGCCTTTTTACTAATCATAATATATTCAAGGCACCAAAATACTGGTATTTTTTAATGCTAAAAAGTTAACGTATAACAAAATATGGCAAATAACGAAATGTTGTTCTTAAAATTAAACTGAACTTTGGGTCAAAATATATCTCTGATTGCGATGACAATCACCTTATAGAATCCCTCTTATAACAAATTTAGTTTTAGTTTAATTAATCAGTTTAATTAATCATTGATAATTCAATTTAGTTTTTGTAATAGGTAAATATTCGTTTAAAGATATTTTGAAAAAGTGATATGCAGATTATAAATTGTCATTACTATTATTTTCACTATTTTTATAACATTAATTAGACAATACTACCTAGTGTTTCCCTTTATATTTATATTCTTTTTTAACTGTGTAATAATAAACCCGAAGAATATGAAAATAAATACATTTCGATCGAAATTCAGTTAATAGGGTAACTAAAATATTTTCAAATTATTGGTATACTATTAAACCTATTCCAAAAATGTTTTCAACCGAATATTTATTTTTAATGTAATGTATTCGATGTTCCACATAGACTGATTATTATAGGTATAAATCGAATAATTCGACTGTAAAACATATTATTTTTGACAAGCATTTTCGATTTATTTTGAGTTTATATATTTATGTATATATGTGTGTGTAATAGGCTCCCATATCCTCAACTGCATTCGATTACCTACATGTGTTCAATAATGTTTTACGTTAGCTGGATGTTGTTTACGATTGCAATGAATTTATTCGATTGTAATACAATTTTTTGACGATCTTCATTTATATAGGTACTTTCCTTGGGAATGGAAAGAAGCTAAGCAATAAAAATAATTACTGTAATAAATATTTACAATACGCAAACACGCATGTTGTGTACAAACATATTTAATTCAAGCTAAGTAAGTTTTAGCAAAATTATTATTACACAATCACATTAAAAAATGTAGTAAGTACCTAGGTATCTGAGGAGTATATTTTCACATTTAGGTACTTAGCAAAAATTTATTTTAAATAACCCAAATACCCAATTGAAAAATAAATAAAATTTAAAAACTTGTAAATATCCCAGTAAGAGCTGAAGTTAACGACATTCTCGATTTCAAGGCTTAAAACAATACTCGAACTTTAATAATATGTGAATGAAATGGGTCCATGACGTGCAATAATAAAATAAATATAATAATATACAAGTTTTTATTTTAAAGAAAAGAATGATATACGGTGGGTGATTTTCAATGCCAATTGAAAAAAATAAATAATATTGAGTTAGTTGTAGTGGAAAATCATTGAGTGAAAAAATGTCGTTTAAAAGTAATTTATGCAACTTTCTAAAAGAATGAAAACTGTGTCATGAAACTTTAAAAAAATGCATATCTATGAAAGACGAGTAAAAACAATTTATCTCAGACCTATGCTGAACGTCTGTATTATTATAAAAGTCCATTGCGGGCATGTTATTAAAGTTACCGTTTTCTCTTTAAAACAGTTGTATTATTTTTGTTTTTAGCGTATTCAAATGAAAGACTATATAATCCAATAAGACACTTGATAAATTATTCTATAACCTTATATGCTTATACTTAACTTTAAGTTAGACAATATTAAAATAACTACACTCCGTAGATCATAGTAAAAGGAATCAGTTAGTAGATACGTGATAATTCAATAATATTAAATATATTAAAGATACAACGTTTTGAGAAAAAAACAATATCTGAAAAAAGGTATTGAGTAGGTACTTATTTTCAATTAAGTAATTGAAAATTATATGCTGAGCCGCTATGAATTATATCAGATTTAGACTAAATTAATTAGGTAGTATAATTTTCATATGTCCTTTTCCTCCGTGAAGATTTACAAAGCATCCAATTTTTAATGGATACAGTCGCCGATGAAATGAATCATTTTTTTGCATAGTGTAACACAAATAATTCTTGGCTTATCTAATTCAAGAAACTGCTTCTCCTATAGAATAATTCTTTTCTCTATTGTAGATGACAAAAATACTCTCAAGGATATTTCAATATCACTTCAACTGTGCTTTAAATGTAAATCCAATTCATACATTTTACAAAACAGTTGTAATGGAAAGGTTCTTTTGATATTGTGATTTTTACATTTGAATAAGTACTGAAATATAATAATAAAGTTGTTCTACACTTCGTCAAATTAATTTAATTCGCAGTTTGAATTGGAAGGTTTTAGGCATGATAATATTTTAAGGAGGTTATGTTTAGAGATTGCACTTTAATTATTAGTCAGACCAGACAATTTTCCATCGTGCTGCTTCGTCACAGTCAAATAACATAAGCTTGAACTTTTGTTGCTAGTGAATCGGGAACTTTAGATTGGGAGTGTGTTGGTGTTTTTTCATGAATAAAATTGTCCGCCCTTTTAATCATTGGTCGGTGACATTGGCATGGTTGGGAATACTGAAAATCTTCGTTAGCCGTGACTGTTTAACAACATTCAAGCCATAGCTACCTAATTGGGTACATTATGGTGCGGTGGTTGTGTTCGTGTGTCCGTGTGTTCATGTGCTTAATAGTTAGTATTCTCCTGCTACATGCATACTGCATCAGTATGTACTCTTGTACAGTGATTTTTTCCGTTACTCAATGTACTTTGCTCATAATCTGTGTATGATCAGCTAATAAAAGCAAAAGGTATTGACTATCCTCCATAACTATGATTTCGTCTTCGTATTTGCACACCATAGTTGAGTCTATTTTTGTACTTTGTTCTTTGTATTACATTTCCGATTGCAAGTCAAGTCAAGACCGTCCAGCAGTTTCTTTTCCTCATCAACTCAAAAAATCTAGCGAGCTTTTATGCTCAGTTCATTATTATGGTATCCGCGTAGATCGGTGTTCCCCGTTACCCCGATATCATTTTTGTTTATGTATACTAACGTCACGGAATTTAATATCCCTCAAAACTTTTAAGAACACTCCTTTTTTACAAGTAATAAGCATATACAAATCATATAATCAACAACGTTTATCATCAATTATCATATATACAGCAATACTATTAGGTATGCGTTTTCCCCTCGCACCAATGTCCAATTACCACGACCGCAGTTGTTTGATGTTTGAACCGAGATACCACAAACTTCAGCACGTTACCACACATCAATACTTTCTCACAGTAGGCTTATGTATATTAATAAACTGTGATTCCCCCGACATCCAGGAACTGGACCTGTCTTCCACAATAAACGACAACTCCGGCTACGTCATTTTCGGACTAAGACATGACCGTTACGTCAACAAATTTTACCCACGACCACTGACTACAGACAAGTACGTTCCATCAAATCACATTTTTGGTTTTCAACTACTATGTCCATCATTTGGCCAGTCCATCATTTATAAGAGTGTCGAGCTGTTCCACAATAATGGTGCGCTAGATAACGATAATATGCAGTTATAGCATTGTTACACCGAAAAAAATCATAAGAACTACCATTGTCAACTCAACTTCGTAATGTTATACTCTCTATTGACAAAACCACAAGCCAAGTCGGTTACATACATATTTGTATGTAAATAACAAATGATAATGTAATAATAATCAAATAATAATGTTTCTTATTCTGAATGCAGCAAGAAAAAAACAAAACCATAATTAAAATCATAATATTTTTCTTGACATCTTTATGATGAAAATTATATTTTACCGATACTCATTACTCATATCTCCAAGACCTTTATTGTTCATTACTAAATATATGGAAATCAAATACATTTACATTATTAAATATACAAATTGTATATCATTATAACTTATAACTAGCACGCCATTGTGTGGCTTTTTGTTATTATATTATAAATACCTGTAAATTGCACCCATAAGTAATTGTCAAATCAGCACAAAAATTAAAATCATATTATTGTATTATTTAATTATTATACATTTCACTATTGCCATTTTATGATCTATAAAATGGTAAAACTTTTCCTCGAATTACCCTATAATATTTTATTTTATCTTGATCTAATATACATTAACATGAATACTTTTAATTCCATACTCTTTTTATAATTTATTAATCTAGATTCTAGGGTGTCAAATATTTTCTTTTATATTTTCTTTACTATGTATCAAAACCTGTGAGTTCCACAGACGTGTTCTCTTTAACCCACAATATGGGTAGGCTTATTTCACTGCATGACACTGACAGCACTGCATGGTCATTGAAAGTGTTTCGTTTAGTTAGTAGGTGCTCTGTAATCCCTAAAACGGCCGAAACCTCATAATTCATATAAAAACAATAATATATATTACGTTTTGTTTACAATTTCAATATATGTTGGATATTATGTAATCATACAGAGATTCAAATATTTCCATAGTGTGTTAGTGATATGCCATTTAAATTTCTCAAACGCTCGGTCATATGGCTAGGATACTATTGTTTTGACACTCTGAAAATTAGAGGGTCCTGTCTTCGATGTTGGACCATCTCTTCAACATAGCAGCTGATTATAGTGCATCATTCCTGTTTTATCATGCGTGTATGGTATATATTATATTAATGTATCTATAAAGTGAGGGCGCATATATATTGTGTTGTTATCGGTTGCAATATATAAACATTATTAAAATTCTAACTATTAAAGTTAAGAAAACATTTTTTTTTATATATAACAAAATTGAGCATTAAAATAGAAACTAGGTTAAGTTATAATGTATAATAGATATGTTTGCAAATGCGTGTTCATCAGCAGATATTGCTTGATATGGTCACTGTAGAATAAAACACTAAACAGTAATAAAGTATTATATTTTAACTTTACGTGTTTATTATAGAGTATGTCGAAAGTGATAGGCGTATTAGCTAACAAAGTCGCGCCTAACTAGTGACTCATTATTTTACGAATTGTAATTCTGTGTGAGTCTATGTGTTGTATATATATTTTCGTGCGTGTACACTGATTTTTGAGTTTACATGTGTATGTTTTGGTAATACGACCTTACCACAATATATTTTTAGTGTGTTTTTGGGAACTTCAACCTATTATAAAACAATATTTTATATGTGCATATTATAGTATCTCAAACTTATCAAGATTTTTGGGTATATTAGCCCTTGGCATAATTGATGAATTTTCATATTATGCCTACATGGCTACATGTTAAGTGACATTTTGGAGAACATGGTATTTTGTATTTGCAGTGAACGTTATTTATTTATTTATTTATTTTTTTTTTTTTTAATGCACTATTTTGAGTATACGCGTGTGTGTGAACAAGATATTTTCCATCCAAAACTGTACTGTTTGCTTCTCCATTGAATATAATATGTATGCTCTGCGAGTAGTTTGGGATTGCTGGTTCGCGTTGTCACTGAATGCCCATATCAGCCATCAGTGACAAATTTATTACATAAATGTTCTAATCATTCAAACGGTCTTATTCGAGAATTGCAACCTACAAGTTTGTTAATAACAGACGAGACAATCGTAATAAGTAATAACATACATTGTCCTATGTATACCACCTGGTATGGATATCGCCCACGTCACTTATTTAAAATCTTAACAAATAATACGAATTGAAAACAATTCCCAACCTATACTTATGATAATATTTATAAGTTATCATCACCAATGATTATGTGATGTTACAAACACGGTTCAATAGATACAGTAAACCCGAACCAGGTTAACCTTTTGCACAACAATTAGTACATAATCAGCTGTTCGTCACCATAAAACTATAAAAGTTAGGTTGAGTATACTCTACTATATTAAAATCTAGCACCACGAGACCCGAATACCGAGACTGCGTACTTCGACAAATTTCTGTAGACATTGTATTGCTTTAAATATTTTGAAACTAATAAAACGCGAGATCAATCACCAATATTATAGTTACCTAATAATTTAACTTGATCGCTCGGACAAGCATTTGAATTATATCTCGACTGCTGTTAACTATGTAACCTCAATAATTGTTATGAGTGTACTTATATTGCGATAAATGCAGCAGTATAAATGACAATAAATACAATGCAGAACCGACTGACTTTGGTCGTTCACATTTTCAAATCGAAAATGAACTTAAGTATTTCACAGTTTTATTCTTGTTCATACAAAATCCAACAGATGGCTCTAGAAATTAGAAAAGACTAATGAGTTTCGATCGACTTATCAGTCATCACTTTGTTTTCATTTTACCTTGGTGATTCCACATCATCAGTTGTAGTAACTAGCTACTGTCACATCAGATATTCTAAACCAAAAATTCGGAATTGGCAGAATTCGAATATTCAATAATGTAAATAATTCAATATTGTACTTGTAGTGGGGAACTTACTAAAACTAAAAACAATAACTTTTACTTGTAAAACTATGATTTCAGAAAACAAAATATTACGTTTTTAAATAAAATATAAATCAAATCATATACTTACATTACAATTTATTTATCAATTCTTTCTTTTTTAAATATTTATAAGACAATCTAACTTTGTACACTTAAAGTTTATAATTTTAAACATTAAATTTAAGGCTTGGTAGATTTGATGGATAGTTTGTATGAACAGTAACCAGCAGAACAATAGCCGGAAGAATCGATATAAAATCAGTGGAATCGATAGATATACAAGCATATCAGATATCCCGGCGTTATGAACTTGTCAGATATTTCAGTTCTTACAGTTTTGGGTCATGTTAAAGCAAAATAATATATAAAGTTTTGGGTAAAGCAAATTCCAATGCGATAACTTAGATTCAAATGCTAATATTTTATTCCGTTAATACAGTCATTGTTATAAGATAAATATTTGTGGGCTAAAATGTCTCGCCAGGAAAATATATAAAAGTTTAAAAAAATGCAAGTATTTAAAAAAAATAAAACCTACAATGAGTTAGTTTCTAATTTGCAACTCGAGTGGTATTGTATTTCTTTGTAAAGCAAATAATCTAATTTCAAGTTTATTATAATATTATATAACGAAATATTTCAATGAATACAAATATAATTTAGTACTCAGAAAGCATTTCTTCTTTTGAACTTATTCAACCATAAAGCTACGTTCCTTTTTTATTAAAGGATTTCAGATTAACTATAGAAAGCTCTTATATACTAAAAGTAGAGCTGGAAATATGATGCTCTAAAAAAACTAATAAAATAACCTTGAAAAATTCATTTATTCCCTAAAATCTTTAAATGAAGCAGGTATAAAATTAACTAAAAAGATAATTATGACATAAATGTACAATATAGGAATATTATATATTATACACAAGCTTTAAAATTTAACTTGTATTTTACAATATTATGTAGACATTTATGTGTATACACTTAAAATAAAGTAGTTGATTTAACATCAAACTACAATGTTCAATATCTATTAGTTAAATCAACTGCATAGTCATTTATATTAACCACAATAATACGTTGACTCAATGCATGGTGTTGAGAAATGATAATAATTCATAATGATAATAACATCCAAAATTAGTTGAATTTAGGAAGTTGTAGGTATTCAATGTAATATAATACCGGTAATTGAATTGAAAAAATAGGAAATGTTGTTTTAAAACATGGTCTCGATTCATTATGAACTTATTTTATAGTTGTTTCTACTCCAAAATAGTGTTAAAATTCTTTTATTTACCTAATTGGTATATATTTTACCACTATTTGTACGTAGTCCTGTTAGGTAGGTAGCTTAATAAGCTAGATTTTAAAAACTTTTGAACCTAGGTGTAAAGGGTTCGATTCCCTCGTGGGAGAGAATTATTTTTATTTTTCTAATGAATAATCACCATTGTTCCGTAACATGGGGTTATTTTAACTACTGAAAAATCTCAATTTAAAAAAATTTTTAAATCTCAATTTTAACCATTTATTATAGTTAATTCAACTACAGCGTAGTTTCAATTTGAAACAAATTTAAAACTCAATTTACAACATTGCGAAAGTTAATCTCACTACGTTATGTTATCTTAGTGTGGCATTATAATGTATTTGTCCTAACTATATATTTTTAGTAATTTTAATTATGTTGAATAGTGGTAAAATCAATACTTATTGACAGTGTTGGGAATAGATAACTAATAATTTATCTAGATAAAGATAAAGATGACTGTAATAATTTGTATCTAGATACAGATAAAGATAATTATACTAAATTTTATCTAGATAAAGATAAAAATTAGTACATTTTTATCTAGATAAATATGAGATAATTGATGTATTTATCTTTATCTATAAGATTATTTTTCGTGGATTCTTCAACTTTAGACATTATTGAAGCATGTTTATACTAAAATATTTACAAAATATTAATATTGTAGTAAATATAACTTGTAAATTGTAATTAGAATTTAAAAATAAATAGCTGGTCCTAAAATTATACATACTTTATAATGACTAAGGAAATTACCACTTGAATTAATACTCCCATTTACAACTTTGGA